CTAAACCCCAAACACTAAACCTCCTAGGAAATCCCCCTGAGATGTGGATCCTCGATGGGGGTGGGTTACACGCGCCCTTACACCTAGGCACCATCGCTTCCCGTGCGCAGGCTGCCTCACCAGAACTACCTCGTCGCTAGCATGAGCACCCCAAAACCTACACCCTAAATGATGGCGGTTTAGGGTTTAGGGCCGGGTTTAGGTATGAGCGGAGCAGGTTGGAGAGAATGATGGGTCATTGTGGGAGGGGTCCGCATCGAAGAAGGGAGGAGAGCCGCCATACCCTGGCGCTTGCACCCTAGCGGCTAGAACGCCGCCATAGTTGCACCCCTCTTTTCTGTGGCGTCTCTTTTCAATGTCCAGTTTTTGGGCTTCGGGTTGGGGGACTGTTGGAAGTGACCCCTAAACTCTAAACCCTAAACCCTAAACCCTAAACCCTAAACCCTAAACCCAATCAGAAGAAGGACCGGGCCCGAAAAGCCCCGAAACCGCCGGTGAGGCCTGGGCCTCCAGACCGTATCAGGTTCCGGGTCCGGTTGACTCTGGAAAGCTTGGGATTTTGGGTTTTGGGTTTAGGGTTTAGGGTTTAGGGTTTAGGGTTTAGGGTTTAGGGTTTAGGGTTTAGGGTTTAGGGTTTAGGTTGGGTATTTAGGACGTTTGATCCACGACGGGCCCCGAAAGCCCTGGTCTTTCGGACCCCGAAAGCGCCTGATCCCCGCGAACTGCACCCTACCCTCAAGAGCACAGCAAAAAGCGGCAGAAGCCTGGCCAAGGGTCGAGAAATCTGAAAGCTCCCTTCATAGACGCAATTTCGCAGCCAGGAACATGTCGGGACCTGAACCCCGTTAAAAAAAAGAAGTTTAGATTTTAGAGTTCAGGGTTTAGGGTTTAGGATTTAGGGAAGCCACAAAAAAGGGCACCTCCAGCAGCTTCAGAGCTCGCAAGACGATGCCTTGAAGATGCGAGGTTGCCTGGGCCGCTCCACGTCCGATGGGCACTTCAACGTGGCCATTTAAGGCCTATAGGGAGTGGCACCACTATAACAATTTTGGTGTACTATAGTTTATTTTAGTTTGTTGTAGTTTATTATGCTGTCCACATGACACCCCCTCGAAGATTGAGTCCCTCGAACACGGAGGTGAATGCTGCAGATCCGCAGAGCGCATCCGAACTGCTACGGTAGAAGGAAGCAAGCGGCCTGAAACGCAGTGCAAGCAAGTCGCTTGACCTCAGCAGACTTTACAGCTTGTGGCCTTCTCGACGGCTCTCAATCGGCAGAATATGCTGAGCTGGCTGCCTTCTTTGTTCTGCAAGTTCTCTGCCGCCGAGCCCGTGCGGACAATGCTCAAGAACTGATACATCCACGCAGAAGCGTCGATGGCCAGCCGGCGGCCGGTGTATCCTCCAGTCAGCTGCATATCGCACTCATCCCAAAGAGCGCACTCATCCCAAAGAGCTACAGAGACCAGCTTTGCAGAGAAGGCTCGTTTCAGCTCAGTGTCAAGGATCGCCTTCGGCACCACCTCTCAGGCTGACGAGGGGACATCGCTCTCGGGATGTGTTGTCTATTTTCAGCTTCGTCTCATAAGTCATGTTCCCTTTCAGTTTGTGGTTCCTCATGCTCTCATCCTTTGTATCCTGCTCGTGCTTGCGTCTTTCCCCCACAATCTGCAAGTCGTCAGAAAGTTCCGCACACGGAAGCTTCCGATAAACTGGACTCTTGAACTGTTGCAAAAGCAGGTGGACAGCGAAGGTGAGCACATTTGCCCACAGCTTGTCAAGCACTGCTTCAACCTTAGGCCATCCTGTCCATCCCCTCTCGGTTTGTCAGTGACCCTGTCGGTAGATCTGCCTTTACCACTCCTTATCTTCATTCTTCTTCTATGGTCCTGGCCAGGTCGTCGGACACTGCTTTTGCCTCTCCCGAGAGTGCTTGTTACTGTTTCTCTTGAAGTACAACTCTGCGTTACTGGTAGTCTCTTCTCTTCAAGTGGTTCGCTTGTTCAAGGTGATTCTCCTTTTTTCTATCTCCGCTCCTTCCTAGACGTTCTGCACCCAGCTGCTAAACCGTTTCTGCTTCCGCGCCGCTACCTCTATCATGTGATTCGGGCACGGCTGGATGCCTGCACAAGCTTCAATATTCACCTGGTGCGAATCTTATAGTATGTTATAGTATATTGTACAGTATAAGAAATATGGTATATTGCACGAGGGTTTGGGTTCGATATAATTCTTGTATGCTCACCTCACCGAGCTTGTTGGTAGTGGTGGATTGACGACTTAGTTGTGGTTCTCGACGTAGTCGCAGTACTGCTACCTCTCCCAAGAACACACGCTTGCACTCGCTTGTTTTGGCGCCAGCTTCGGACAATCTGTGGTCCGTGCAAGAGGGATGGCTCGAATGCTCTAGACCTTGAGTGACTATTGCGTCTAGCAGAATGTCGAGCTCGGCTGCTCGTTCTTGAGCCACGAAATTGGCGGTGCACTCAGTAATAAACAACATGTCTGTGGCAACCGTCAACTGTCCGAAACTCGGTCCAATTACATTGCCGATCATAGCTCTAATTACCAATCATGACGTGACATCAACGAACTGTACGAGGCATCGAGGACTCTTCGCATATATGATCCCGGTTCGGCCGGC